ATCACTCTGGTACAAGTTGATCTTGGTCTCATCTGTCCATAGGATTTTGTTCCAGAACTGTGAAGGCTTTTTTAGATGTTGTTTGGCAAACTCTAATCTGGCCTTCCTGTTTTTGAGGCTCACCAATGGTTTACATCTTGTGGTGAACCCTCTGTATTCACTCTGGTGAAGTCTTCTCTTGATTGTTGACTTTGACACACATACACCTACCTCCTGGAGAGTGTTCTTGATCTGGCCAACTGTTGTGAAGGGTGTTTTCTTCAACAGGGAAAGAATTCTTCCGTAATCTACCACAGTTGTTTTCCGTGATCTTCCGGATCTTTTGGTGTTGCTGAGCTCACCAGTGCGTTCCTTCTTTTTAAGAATGTTCCAAACCGTTGTTATGGCCACGCCTAATGTTTTTGCTATCTCTCTGATGGGTTTGTTTTGTTTTTTCAGCCTAATGATGGCTTGCTTCACTAATAGTGACATCTCTTTGGATCTCATCTTGAGAGTTGACAGCAACAGATTCCAAATGCAAATAGCACACTTGAAATGAACTCTGGACCTTTTATCTGCTCATTGTAATTAGGATAATGAGAGAATAACACACACCTGGCCATGGAACAGCTGAGAAGCCAATTGTCCAATTACTTTTGGTCCCTTAACAAGTGGGAGGCACATATGCAAACTGTTGTAATTCCTACACCGTTCACCTGATTTGGATATAAATACCCTCAAATTAAAACTGACAGTCTGCAGTTAAAGCACATCTTGTTTGTTTCATTTCAAATCCATTGTGGTGGTGTATAGAGCCAAAAATGTTAGAATTGTGTCAATGTCCCAATATTTATGGACCTGACTGTATATGTGTGTGTGTGTGTGTGTGTGTGTGTGAATTTGTATTTCTGGGTCGGGGGTGCGCTCAAGCGCCCTACCCGCTCCACCATTTGCAGCCTCGGTTGTCATTTACCGGGTCCCAGCCGGTGATCACCCGCTGGCGCCTGGTGATTACCGAGGATCTCCGATGGGAGGATGGCTGCTTTTTTTTTTTTTTTTTTTTTTCTACTAACAGTCCTCCTCCCTGTCGGCTCGGGCACACTGCTCTGGAGGGCTGTGCAGTGAAGCACCTACACACCACCCTATAGTAAAACAGTCCTAGCACACAGCTAACCCTTTGATCGCCCCTCATGTTAACCTCTTTCTGCCCAGTGCCATTATTACAGTGTTAGTGCTTTGTTCTAGCATTGATTACTGTATTGGTGTCACTGGGGATGTCAATGACACAAAGTCAATTCCCCCCAGTGTCAGAATGCCTGCCGCAGTCCCGCTATAAGTCGCTGATCGCTGCCATTACTAGTAAAAATGTAAAAAAAAATGTCAGTATATATACCGCCATTTGTAAACACTCTAACATTCACGTAAACCAATTTAATTTACACGTATTGGGATTTTTTTTAAGCAAAGACATGTAGCAGAATACAGACGAAATTTGATTTCTTAAATTTCTTTTACTGGATATGTTTAATAGCAAAAAGTCCAAAATACTGTTTTTCTCAAATTTGTCGGTCTTTTTTTTGTATAGCGCAAAAAATAAAAACCGCAGTCGATCAAATACCACCAAAAGAAAATTTTTGTGGGGGAAAAAAAGACGTAAATTTAATTTGGGTGCAGCGTTGCATGACTGTGCAATTGTCAGATAAAGTAACGCAGCGCAGTAACGTAAAAATGTCCTGGTCAGGAAGGGGTGTAAATCCTCAGGAGGGCAAGTGGTTAACACTGTTTTTTTTTATTTTGTGTGTTACAAATAAACATTTAATATACCAGATCACTATGAATTTTCGAAAGAGAAGGAACAGCAGTAGCTGCCTGCTTTTTAGGCTTGCTTTGTCTGACTGAAATCTCTTAGAGACCTCATATAAGGAAAAGGTTATTTCCTTAAGCTACTGAGCTCTGTAAACAGGTTTTTTTTTTTTTTTTTGGTTTTTTGTTTTTTTTTTTATAGCAAAGGGCATAAGAGACCTAAAAATGTATAAAGGAAACAAGAACTCCATCTCCTGCCTGCATAGAAAAGCTTGTTTGGCAGTTTGTTCTGCACTCCTGTGACCCGTTTTCAGCCGACAGTGGGCTAAAGTCCGCTGTCACTGACATCACTCAGCCGCTTCAGGCTGGGAAAAGATCCCAACCATATGGTTGGGATCCACCCAGGAGCCTGGACCGGCACCTGGCTCATCCTCAGCCTTGAGCTAGCTGCTCCTGCCCTCCCCACAGCCCAGTGCTCCAGTGAGCTCTGGGGGGGGGGAGAAGAGCAAAGAGCTTGAGACTGACAGTCCCAGCTCTGTGCTCAGAGCGGCAGGGAGAATTGGGCGATCAGTGGTGTCTGATCACTCAGTTCTCACCCTTAGAACTGGCATGGGACAGATGCAGCATCAGATTGATGCTGTATCCACATAGGTAAGTATAATTTAAAAAAACAATTCCCAAACATCTCATAACTATTTTTTTTTTTTAATGACTATGAGAAATGAAAGAAATAAAATATAGGCAAAACTACTATATTGTCCCTTTTTTTTTTTTTTTTTTATTGCTAGTATTTAAAATGAAAGCTCTAGTCAAGGCATATATCACTGGTAAACCTAATGATTAATTCAATTTGTATTAATTTGATGTACCATTATGAAAAGATAACCAGATTTTCAGCTCTTTTGGTAAGATATTTTTTTTGTGGCATTTACTGATAGTTTCTTGAAAGCTTTCATCAGATATGTTAGCTGTTTTGTAGACGTGTGCACATAGTAAAATTTTATGTTTGATGTGTAAATGGATGTCTTCTCTTTTAGTTGAAGCTGGGTGGCACCTTAGGAAAATGGACTGGTGTTATGAAGCTGGAGATCCCCTAAGTGAAGAGGTATTAACTCAAAACATGTCCCATGTACAAAACCATGACATTAGACCCATTTAGTATTTTTCTTTTTTAATCATTCAGTTTTTTGTCTTTGTTCTGCCTGTGGGCCCTTGTAGAGGAATTCCTGCTTCTTGCTCCATGGTGGATCAAGCAGCTAATTTCCAGAGCTTACGCCTTAGAGACAGAGTTCCTCCTTTTCGTATCAGAGCCCATTCCAGCAAGGCTGTTTAGTGTCTTTTGAGCTTTTCAGCAGCAGACATCTGCTTCTCAAATTTACGAGGTCACCACCTGGTCCACTGTTCACATTCTCCAAGTTTTCCCAGGTGGTTTTTCAGGGCTCCACTGATGTGCTGTCCAGCTGCAAGGTGCTTTCAACTGCTATCTGAGTGTTTTGTTCAGGTTCTTTAACCCTTGTTTTCTTCTGGGCCTGATGGCAGTTCTGTTTGCTATGCTGTTGCCCACCCTCAGTTTATTGCTTGTGTAGATTCCATGGTCTATGAATAACAAGTCCAGTGACCTGTATTGTACAGTTAGGATAATGGGAATTTTGACTTGCCTGTAAATTCCTTTTCTTGAGTACAGTACAGGACACAGCCCCCCCCCATGTATTGATCACTCCTTATTGTTTGCTAAAAAAAAAAGAAAAAAATGGAGTCTAAGTGGCAGGGTTATCAGTACACTCTAGGGATCGACAGTCTTTTTGCCAATGCCCAGCCATCTGAAGGCAGCCTGCATATAACCTATGGTCTGTGAATAGAAGCCCTGTATCCTGTACTGTACTGCAAGATAAGGACTTTACAGGTATGGCAAAAATTCTTGGCCTGTTTTTCACCTTTTCCCAACAGTCCCTTTATGGAATTCGTACTTATATATAGGTAGGAATTCACATTTTATGATTTAATATATGCAATTCTGTACTGAGTATGTTATTTCAGTGCTTCTGAAATTGGTCAGTTACAGAGGCATTAAATACACCTGGTTGTAAAAGAGTCGGATGATATATGATATATACATACGTACAGAAATTTGGGTGTGATCACCCAAGATGAAGAATATAAAAGATAAACTTCAAATTACTCTTAGGGCTCATTCACACCATATGTGCATGAAAACAGATGGAAACGGACATGCATATTTCACTTGCAGAGACATCACTTTACATCAGTTTTCATGCACGCTTCAGTGAGGTTCTATAGATGTTGCAGATTCCTGCAAATCTGCATGTGATACTAGTGTTGTGGTGTAAACAGGGCACATAGAGAACAATTGATGTTACTGTGCCCTTGCAGAACGCATGCATAAAAACTGACATCTCTGCACAATGGTGTGAACGAGCCCTTAAATTTGACCATTTTGCATGAATCAGTATGTACTATATGTTGTCTTTCTGGGATTAGTATGAGTTAAAGGAGTGTTTATGGTTCTCTCACTTTGTATTTTATAGAATAGTATTATCTTCCCTGGTTATACTGCAATGATCCTTCCTTTTTTTTTTTTTTATACACATATTGTGCATTTTTTAACATCTAAACATACAAACCAATATTTCACCATCTACGTACATTTTCAAACGTTCAAAAGATTGATCCTTCATATACAATATATGAGAATTTTTAATATACTGTATGTGTAATGACATTATTTTCAGCATATTGAGCTTGTTCTGCAACAAAACAAATAACTTTCAACTACAGCTATCTTTGTTTTGACATTTCTTCTCAATAAAGGAGTATCAAAAGATTCTATTGTCTCCCATTACTGATTATTAAAGTTTAAAAGTGCTCTATTCATTACTTATACATCTTACCTTTATAATAAGTCAGGGACCCTTGTTGTTAATGCTCATTAAAGGTAAGGGTGAGAATATTCTTTGCATGTTCAGTGCAACTGGGGCCATTCCTTGCACTGTCAACAAAGGATTCCATATTTTTTTCACTCCAAAGATCTTTCATTAGAGGAGAGAGTTAAGACACATACATTTGCAAATCTGTCTTTGGAACAGCATTCTTGTTTGACTAACATAAATATCAGACAGGATCAATAGATTGTGAGAAAGGATAAATAAGTTCTTAATTTGTATTATTATTTCTAGGACTCCTCTCTGAAGGATTTAAACATACGATCTGGAGACACATTTGTCATAACGGAGGGAAGACTTCCACCCAAGGTAGGTATTTACCATATCTTCATTCTCCTTGATTGTCATATATTTTTTAATATAAAAATTTAATTTGCATTTTTATATCTTGTGCCATTTTTATAGGGATTTCTAAAGTTACCCATTTGGTTGTACTGTCCAAAAACAGAACAGAGTTCTGTCAATCATGTCTTCAGTTGCCTGGCAACCCTGCAACTATCTCAGCCAGGGGGTAAGAGTCAAATAGATGGTATGTCCTAGTAGTTGGTGATGAGCTGCTAGATGGGGGTTTCTGACTTGCTTACAGTAGAATTCATGCATAACACACATTAGGCTTCGAATCATAAAGCTCAAAGACAAGAGTAAAGATTTCTATTTTTATGCAAGTAACATTTATTTTCAGCAATTTCAACTACATGGCTAAAAATAAAGATCCTTTTCCTTCATTTAATGCATTCGCATTTGTTTGGGATGCCTTTGAGTTTTTGAAAATTTCCTTTTGAAATGGCTTAAATGCTAGAATGGAGGTCATATGGAGTATGGAGTATTTCCCAATACTCTGCTATACAGCACAACAGGCTTTCTTGGGTTTTGTCATGTCCATGCATTGGCTTGAGTTGGAAAATTCAGCGATCGCATGACAACAAATCTGGTGCGAATAAGCCATTAAAGAGAAACTGCAAGCTTAAAAAAAAAAAAATCAAAACATTGTTCTCAGTGTACACATAAGTTTCACTTGGATCCCTAACTTAACTTATTAAAGCTGATCTCCAGGTTCCATTTAAACTTTAAATAGTTTGGACAAAGCTGGGTATACATACAGTATACAGTGCTGCGTACTGGCAGTGGGACAACACTTTCTGTCCACCCCTAGATCAAAATCGAGTTGGCCTACTGTGCAGCCATTCAGAGGAAGCCTTGTATTCTGTGAATGAATACAAAGTTTCCTGTGATTGGCTGAAGTGGAGAGATGGGCTAATGACATCATGGACTCTTCCTCAATCCTACTCCATGCCTAAGTCTAATGTGAATTGCACCCTACATGATTAGCAGCAGTAATCAAGGTGATTTTAAAGGTTAGATTTACCTCTGACGCTTGTTCCACTCATTCTAGGGTGGAACATTTAACATGTTCCCATAGCTGCAGCCGTGTCCGCCCCCCCCCCCCCCCTTCCCTCTGACAGATAGTACGGGGAAACTTCTCCCTGTACTATCTGTCAAATTTGAAAACCGCACGGCTGTGTGGGACTCTGCCCACACAGCTGCATCATTCATTCATGGACTTCTGTGAATGAATGAACTGCAAGCCCCGACAGCCTTAACAGCTGTGGGCTAGTAGTTTTCAATGAACTACCACGGCGCTGTGGAGCACCGTGGTAGTTCATTGAAGCTTCCTGTCAGAATATCTGCTTGCTCGTATATCCCGTACTGCAAGCAGATATTCTGACAGGTCTGCAGGAGACCTGCATGACATCAGAAATCTACTGATCGCTGGTGCAATTCTTTCCAGGCTCCTTTGGACAAAAATAATAAATGCACATTTCTTTTTACCTGCAAAAAAATGTGCATTTATTATTTTTGCCCAAAAGGTGAACTTATCCTTTTAAGCTGGCAATTTGGTGTGGTTGGTGTACAACATTAGGGTACATGTTTTTAATGAAAAGGGATAAACAGTAAATGTATTGGAGGGAAAACAAACAGTAGCAGTTAAGTCTGAGATGAAACAGCGAACATATGTTTTAGCATTCATGTAGTCCTAGAATCCAGTATGGCATTGCTTATCAGTTTAATGAATTTCAGCATTCTTTTCCTCTCTTTCCCATACACGTGTCTCTCGCTTTCATAGATGCTTCTTCCCATGAACAGCCAGACTCTGATTATTCCTTTGTGGGGTCATATAGAGATATCCAAAGAGGCTTCTCTTCAAGAGCTCAAACTTCAGGTTTGTGTAAAAACCATTACCTAGGTATTTTGTGCATTTTGACATTATGTTGTATTTGGTATTTTACACCTATTGTATTACATAAGAATTGTCTATAGTCATGGCAATGTAAGTGCCATTGTTCTCTCTATACAGATTATGACACTACCACTTTTTGATGCCATTGGCATTCCTTCTCCTGATTTCCTCCGTATCTGGACTTTAGAAAACAAACGGTTGGCAAAAATATTGCGCTTCAATCAACTGCAGATCAGGTGCTTAGTTATCTCTTTATTTATACTGATTCTAAGGTGATAACATATGCCCTTTTTAATACATGCACTTTATTTTCACAGGGTAGGAAAGTAAAAAGATTACATTTGTTTGGCTTATTCCCCCATAAATTGCTGTGTGCAAATATATTCGGTGATGTCTATAAAAAGCAAAAACAACCACATTTATTTAAGAATTTTTTTTTTTTAAATCTGAAAAATTTAAACATTTTACAGTTGCAATCCTATACACTATGTACACAAAACTAACAAAAAAAAAGGTAAACTATAAAATCTACAAGTGAGAGTCATTATACTGCAAAAGGCAAGGATGTTGCACTGGTTTGTGTATTAGATTACCTTTAAAGTGGTTGTAAACTTCAGATATGAAATGTGAACAAAGCATATCCTTCTATTGTGTACTTGTCTCAATTCAGAGCACGAAGTGTTATTGCTGTTTGCTGCCTCATTCTTCTGTTATCAGCATGAGTCATTGCTGACAAGTTTTCTTGACACCAAGAGAAAAAAAAAGGTATTGTCATAATGTGCTAGCATCCATCACATACTAGCACATTATGAAAGACTTGCCTTCGAACAAAACCCTCGAGCGACAGGGTTTCGCCCGGTCTTCCTTCAAGTTTGCAGGTCCTGGCTGCTTGATTGGCCAAGCTGCTATGATGCATGCGTGGGAGTTGTGGCCATTTTACCAATAAACTGCCTATGCAGGTAAGGGATGTCAGTTGATAACAAAATGTGCAGCTTTGACCAAAGTTAAATTTAGACTTTGCTATAGGTGTAGGCCATTGACATACCTTTTTAAAACTTGACTGAAAAGCTCCCAGAAATGGCATCATCCCATCCTGTCCTATTTCTAAGATACTTCCAGTTGTTTACTTTCACCATCACAGAAAGTGATTAAGCAGTCCACTGTATGATTTTAGCAATGAAAATAGCCTTTTTGTTTTTCTCTGGCTAGTGACCACAAACTGGGAATCAGAACAACACTGTGTGTGGAGCCTCTGCAGGCAGAGGAGTGTCTCGGGTGAGTCTTGTGCTTTTAAAAAAATTATTTTCATTATACCTAGAAGTGCTTTATTTATAAAAAGAACTGAAATTTATTTAAATTTATCAAACTGCTTAGGTCTCAATTAACAAAGTAAACTAAAAACCTCTTTTTCCTTCTAGCAAGTCTTTCAATTTACATGAGATTAGTAAGATAAATGGAAAAGCTACAGTAGCAACTGAAGCAGCAAATAAATAGTACAAGAAACAGACTGGACAAAAAAAAAATCTTTGAAGCCTCACTGTGCTACTGTTAAATTTTCCAATGCAGTGGACTCCCTCCTTGCAGCACATGGGTAACTGCTCATTTGCAGTCATCTGAAGCCAATTCCACCTCTCTGACATCAAATACAATGCAGGGATCTGTTGGCACCGAGATACCCCTTCAGAAAGTAGTTTTTCATTGTTACATTCTATCCCTTACAAGTACAAATTCAGCAGAGCTGTCCAGGCCCACTTTACTCTCTCATCTGCTGCTTTCAATAAATAGAAGGCTAAAGAAATGTTCCCTTTATAATTCAGTGTTTTTCTTTGAAAGCCTTGGGTACGCATGCAGTTAATGCTAATTTAGCTACATCAGGCTCTGGAGCCATATCGATCATGCTCCATTCTCCAGGACTTAAAGGATGGGAAAAGGAAGAAAACATTTGAAACAATTGTTCACATTGCTATCACATTTCTCATATACCTATAACTGTGGCAAACTAGTATACACCTATTACATTAACAGCGGTTGACTTTTATGTATGAGATGCACTGACAGATGGTTAGGTGGGATCATTTCATACTACTTAACAAAAAAAGAAGCAATGTATGGATAATGTTTTCCAGTATAATTTCCTTCTTCATCCTTTAGCCCCCAGGATCTGCTCCTTAGAGTCCAGCTTTCTGTGCCAGGAGAATATCGCTATTTTCCCCCATTGGACATTGCATGGAATATCTCTCGTGGATGTACAGCCTCAGCTCTTCGTCAGAGAATTGCCACCCACTGTGCGCTACCAGCAGACAAAGTGGAGATTGCAAAATACATTCCAGAGAAACACGAATGGCTTCCAATTTCAAGCTGGGTGAGGCTTTAACATATCATTTGGCTTGCTTTATTCTAGATAATGGAAAAAGTTACATAATGCTGTAATACCAATATATATAGTGTGTGTGTGTGTGTAGATATATATATCCTAACAATATATACATTACCAAAGAATGGAATATAGCTTCACAATGTATACATTTTTTATTTTACATAATAAATTATATATATATTCAGATTTCAAGAATATTAGGAATCTTATTAATAAGAGTAACATGTGCCACAAAAAAGTATCCACACACCAACATACAATGATTATTGCTCATTATTGTTTCACATTAGACTCAACATGTTTCCAAAAAGAAGAAGAAAAAGAAAGCTGAGAGCCTACAGGGGGCACCATATTATTTGAAGGATGGGGATATAATTGGTGTAAAGGTGAGTAGGGTCTGGAAAAGGCAATATATTAGACAAGAGTAGTGTTGGTTACGTACGTTTTATTTTCTTAAACTAATCCTTTTTTTATTCATCGTTAAAAGGTGCCACGCATTAATTCATTATTTTATTCAATCTGACATGTAGTTACCACTATGTAATTTTTCTTTTTTTTTTGCATGTCAAACGATTAAAGTGAAATAAAGACCCGATTTATTACACATGCTTCAACCCCATGAATAACAACCTAAACATTTTCTATTCAGTCCTATCATTTCTTTCTTGATTTAACCAGAAAATGAATTAGATTTAAGAAACCAATCAAATCAATAAGTAGTTTGAAAGTGTCAGAATTAAAAAAAACTGCATAGCAGATGGTTTGTTTGCAGACACAATCGAGTATCAAGACAGTTGGATTACTAATTGTGTGTGGGCACAGTTTGTTGGAGGCTTGAGAAGAAAGTGGTGCAATTATAGATTTAAAGAAGTATGCCCAAAGTTTGTTTTTTGTTTTTTTGTTTTTTTTGGCCCTGCTTCTCCTGTGGGTCACAGAAATGCACTCCTGGAGTGATCCCGACTTTAACGTCGTGATCCACCCAGATGCCTGACTGGTAGCTGGCTCAGCCTTTCAGTGCACCTCTGCGAGCCTGAGCTAGCTGCCCCTGTCCTTGCACAGCCTGCACAGCCCTGCGCTCCACTGAGTTCTAGAGGGGCAGAGTACATAGCTGTGACTGACAGTCACCATTTGGTACTCAGAGCGGATCCAAGAACTGAGCGATCAGTGGTAATGTGGGATCACTCTGTTTTCTCGGCCTTAGAGGTGGTGGGAGACACCTGCAGCGTCAGATCGATGCAGCATCTACCTAGGTGAGTATGTATGACTATTTTTTGTAAATTCTGCACTTCTCATTTTCCCCCCTTTTTCCCCGGTCACGCAGGGATCTGCCCACACGACCTTGTCATTCATTCACAGTTCTGTGAATGAATGAACTACAAGTACCATTGGCTACTGCAGCGCTTTTGTAGTTTGATTCTTCTTGCCATTCACTAACTGCCTGCCAGTTGCAAAAAGATGTGTATTTATTTTTTTAAACAAAAGGTGAACTTATCCTCTAAATGGAGAAACTTCGATAAAGAGGTTTAGGAGTATAAAAATGGTCTTGTTTATGTGTACGCCCTGTGGGCAGTTGTTTTATGCCTGCTTGTCCAACCTGCTTGTGAGATTTACAGGCATCCTACATACACCTGCAGCATTATGTTTAAAGTTTAGATTTGGAGTTTAACTATTCTCCCTAGTGTACTGTGGTAACACGTGAGTGCGGTTCTTTCCTATCACAATTGTGTTGCAGTGCAGCGTACATTGTGGTGTGCTGTGCTGGAGAAAATACATAAATGATTTTGACCCGCTTTAGTGCATTCATGAATAAGCTGCCTTATATCAATGTGCATTAAACATGCTGAAACAGAGTGGGATGGTGTCAATGGACACTAACATGGCAAGTGTAGTTGAGGGCTTAAGACAAGGGTCTCCAAACTTTCTAAACAAATGGCCAGTTAACGGTCCTTCAGATTTTAGGAGGGCTGGACTGTGGCCAGTGGGAGTAGAAAATGTCCTGGAATTAGTGGGAGTAAACAGTGCTCCATCTTTGATATTGGGGGAGAAATAGTGCTCCATTGTTGGTGTCAGTGGCAGGAATTATGCCCCATTGTTGGTGTCAGTGGAAGGTACCTCATATTAGTGTGGTGACTAATGCCCCAAGGGCCACATAAAGACAACCAAAGGCCTGCAGTTTGAAGACCACTGGTTTAGAGGGTAGTGGTTAAAAGAACTTTTGATGTATCTATATGTAAGCAGGGAAATACCTCTCACCCATCAACATTTTTCTTGTCGTGCTGCATTACAATTTAGGCATGTCCAATACATGTTTTCACAGTTGTTTAATATGCAATGCTATTCATTCTCTGTAGAAGATTTCTTTGTTGGAAACCGCAGCAAGGGCGATTTTATCTAATGCACTGCAGTGGTGTAATTGTAACGTTTAAAAGTGTATCTAAAGCCAAAGCCATTTTTTCCGAGTTTTGTATAGAGTGATTAGAGGTTAAGACCCCTGTCAGTGAGCCCATTATGGAGACCCACCCTCTTTATTTGCCAACTGAAAGGAAGGGAAAGTCCAACATTTTGAAATTTCACTTGAACAGAAACAGAGGGAAAATCTTCACATTTGGACACCTTTTTCACTGTCTCAAGAGGGCATTTACTTCACTTTGGAAAGATTCCCTCTTTTTTCTGTTGAGACTACAGTTTTGACTTTAGTTGTATTTCAGTGTGCCTGGGGAGGAGGAATATTAGTTGAACAGTGAGACGGAAGCAGTGACATGCTTACAGTATAAAAAAAAATGTAAACTCTACTTTTTTTTTTTCAGAACCTTCTACTGGATGACAAGATAGACTTCAGCTCAGAGAATGAGTATATAGCAAAGGAAAAGCAAAGACAACGTGCAGAAAGCAAGAAAAATATGTAAGTGATGTCTGCATGAGAACAACCATAAAATAAAGGGTATACTATATACAGCTATGCAAAAATAACATTGTTCATTGTAAGGTATTACTGTGATATCTTTCCATTACAAACAATACCAGCACAATGATTCAGATCTTCCCAGAGAAGGATAGATTTAAAAGCAAGTCAAACAATTTCATGCTCATTGAGCTGTGTTGCTCTGCATAAATCAGTACAGACATAAAAATGCAGCATGTCTGCATTTTTGCACCACACAGCTCACCATACCACATGTATAGGTGGATAGAGTTGTGTAAAGTATAATTTTTTGTTGCTTCAATAGAGTTAAAAGAAAAACTGTGCAAGGCATTATAACAATCCATCACATTGCCTCTTACCACCTCTACACAACATACACCAGATGCATACGTGTTAGCACATGGACTGGTGTGAACAAGCCCTAAAAAGTTCTAAATAAATAAATAAATAAATACATATTCGAATTAAACCAGATAAATACATTTTAAATATCACTTAAAATCAATTAAAACAATTTGTTAGTTGACAAACCATCTATTTTATTATATCATGGGCAGATCCTATAGTGGAGGTGATTTATATCAGGTGTTCCTTATTTTCAACAGCAGTTAGTGTTTTTGGAATTTTTATGCCCTTTGCACAACTCCTAAATGTACTTTGCACAACTTCTATGTACACTGCTCAAAACACTTAAAGGAACTCTGAAAACACAGCAGATCTCAATGGGGAAAAACATCATGCTGGATATCTATACTGCTATGGACTGGGTAATGTGTTAGGAACGCATGGATGCCCATCATTTGATGGAAATGAAAATGATCAACGTACAGAGGACTGAATTCAAAGACACCCCGAAAATCAAAGTGAAAAAATTATGCAGCAGGCTAGTTCATTTTGCTGAAATTTCATTGCAGAAACTCTAAATGGTACTCAGTAGTTTGTATGGTCCCCATGTGCTTGTATGCATGCCTGACAACATCGGGGCATGTTCCTAATGAGAAAACAGATGGTGTCATGGGGTATTTCCTCCTAGATCTGGACCAGGGCATCATTGGAGCTCCTGGACAGTCTGAGGTGCAACCTGGCAGTGTCGGATGGACTGAAAGATGATATCCCAGAGGTGTTCTATTGGATTTAGGTCAGGCGAGCATGGGGGCCATTCAGTGATATCAATTCCTTCATCCTCCAGGAACTGCCTGCATACTCTCGCCACTTGAGGTCGGGCATTGTCGTGCACCAGGAGGAACCCACTGCATCAGCGTAGGGTCTGACAGTGGATCCAAGGATATCATCCCAATACCTAATGGCAGTCAGGGTGCCATTGTCTAGCCTGTAGATGTCTGTGCGTCCCTCCATGAATATGCCTCCCCAGACCATCAGTGACCCATCACCAAAACGGTCATGTTGAACGATGTTACAGGCAGCATAACCTTCTCCACTGCTTCTCCAGACCCTTTCACGTCTGTCACATGTGCTCAAGGTGAACCTGCTCTCATGTGAAAAGCACAGGGTGTCAATGGTGGACCTGCCAATTCTAGTGTTCAATGACAAATGCCAATCGAGCTCTGTGATGCCAGGCAGTGAGCACAGGGCCCACTAGAGGATGTCTTCACCCTCATGAAGTCTGTTTCTGATTGTTTGGTCAGAGACATTCACACCAGTGGCCTGCTGGAGGTCATTTTGTAGGGCTCTAGCAGTGCTCATCCTGTTCCCCTTTTTGCACAAAGGAGCAGATACCAGTCCTGCTGATGGGTTAAGGACCTTCTATGGCCCTGTCCAGCTCTCCTAGAGTAACTGCCTGTCTCCTTCTGGCAATGGCACGTATTGATGTGCCATCCTGAAGGAGTTGGACTGCCTGTGCAACCTCTGTAGGGTCCAGGTATCACCTAATGCTACCAGTAGTGACACTGACCCTATCCAAATGCAAAACTAGTGAAAAACAGTCAGAAAAGATGAGTAGGGAAAAAAATGTCAGTGACCTCCGCCTTTAAAACCATCACTGTTTTGGGTGTTGGCTCATTGTTGCCCATCTAGTGCAACTGTTGTTAATTTCATTAACACCAAAGCAGTTGAAACTGATTAACAACCCCCTCTACTAGGTAACTGACCAGATCAATACAATATCCAGGGAGTTTAATTGACTTGACGCTATACTCTGATTAAAAAGTGTTACTTGACTTTTTTTGAGCAGTGTATATTTGACCCACTTGGTGTCTGACCTAGCCCTCCAGAACCCCCAGCAAGTCTGTTTTTTTTTAATGTTTTCTTTAAGTGGGAACAGCTGGAATAATTTATTGACTAATGATACACATACAATATCCTGGAGAAAATCAAATGGGAGCTCTGATAGAAGAGTGGGAGCTGCTATTGCTAACTTGTTTTTAAAGGTTCAGGGCTGTCACCTGGATCCTGGCTTCATTACTTATTGAGTTACTGACCATGATGAAGCATGCTGAGCAGGAGTTGATACTTTTATAGACTTCACTAGCTTAATGCTTGTTCCTCCTCAGGGATTTACTAGGTAGCAAAGACAGGACCGGAATGACAAGCCCTGGTAATTTCTTTTAAAAACAAGTCAGCCATGTTAACGCCAACTTCTCTAACTGCAAAGGTTAATTTTAAAGTGGACAAGTCAGTTACTTTACAAATCTACTTAAATAAACTCCTAACGTCACAGTATGCAACAAGTATAGTTTTAGAAGTATACAAAATGGTGTCTTGTGTCATTAAAAAAACATTTCTGAAGTGACCTTGACTGAGATCATCATTCTGCTGCATACAGGGTGATATTTTTCCTCAGTTCCTTCTCCCCCTGTGATCAGACTGCAGCATTGTAACTCTGAGGCACAAAGTCAGAGGATTCAGGTTCTTAGACCGTTGTGCACACAGCCAAGAACTGCAAAGGCAGCAGGATTTGTTGTGCCACCTCTGAGCCAGCATCTTGGTTCAGGAACCAGTTTATGATCCTGACTCTACGCTAAGTCACCATCCATCTAAAGAGAAAAGCAGGTAAAGGCCTTGCAAGGAGAAATACTATAATCTATATTAGATGCAATAATTTGTCTGTGTTACATGTATACTAAACTTAGTATGGATAAACTTAACATAAATATAATGCTAGGCTCACTTTAAGGAAATTCTGAAAATATGACTTATTTACCATTGGAGTTGACACGCCATAATGAATTTTTCTTAATGCGTCTAGGTAATGTTTATTTCTACATAACATGAAGGATGGTATTTTAGTCAAATGATGTGTAACAACCATTTCTGTTTTTTTATAGTCCACCATCTAATTGCAATCAAAAGGCTCAGCCAAGTGGACGGAAGCCAGAAAGTTCTCTATCCATCCGTGTGGGAGTGTTCAGATAGCACAAACTTGCTCCCATGGTTGGAGCATGAAATGCAGAATCTTTCCCCTTTATTAACTCAGGGATGAACATAAAATATACTGTCACTAAGAGGCAGTGTAATGTTGTGCTACAAGTCTGTTGTTCACCCTTGCCCCCCTCCCCCCTCCCCCTTCCCGGAGGTCAGAACAAGGTGCTGCACTTCTGCTGAAGAAGTATGGGTGCTTGTAGCTGACCTCAGCTGCCGAACAGTCAGGAAAATGTCTGTGTGTGGAGGTGCCTTCTCTTTTCTCATTATCTGCTGTAAATCACCTGGAACTGATTTTTTTAAAACTGCTGCTCTAAGAAGGACAGCGTATAGCTGTATTACTTGCAATCGGGTTTAAACATGATTGACCCTGCCTCCATTTCTTTTTATTATTTTATGTTACTTGTCAGTTCTATACGGTTAATTTTTTTTATAGGATTACATTCCCAAGCTTTATTGGGGAACCAACAGCTGTCAATGAATAAAGGGATAATCATGCACAATGCTATCTTTTAAAGATTCAATCTGTTATATTTGTTATGGGTTAACGTAGGTAGTTTAAGTTTGCTGTCTCAGATGGCCCTTTTACACTCACACTACTACTATGCAGTAATGCACAGTTTTGATGCACATTACTGCATGCATTTATGCATGATTTTGTATGTCTTAGACATGCATTTATTTGTACATTAATGTGCGGTTTTGTGCATTTGAGGGTGTGGGTTTTGCTCATATGTTAAGTAGAAAAGTAAGACAAACATTCATGGTAAAGATGTGTGTAATACACACACATTTCCATTGTGGACACAGACTGCAGCAAAAAAGAAAGTTCCACTAAATGGGAGTGGGTTAGAACCTCTTTAAGGCTATTATGTTCTGTGACACAAAGCATACAAATTAATGTATTACTAGATAATGACATGTATTTTTTTTAAATTCAACAAGTGCGAGTACCTGAATTTGACCTGAATTTCAGCCTCTTGCAATTCCCCTGTGCAGCAGTATTTTGACTGGGAGAGGGAGGAGCAAGAATGGGAGCCGATCCATTTTACTGCATGCTAATGTGTTAACAAGGAACAGAGTGAACAGAGAGGTGGTCTTATCATTTTTCTGCTGCTCTTTCATTGTCCAGCCAGTAGACTGGAGGTTTAGCAAGGACAGTGTATTGCTTGTATAGTTTACACTGGTAACAAACATCCAAGTCATCCAGCTAGTCTTGATGTGAGAGCATCCATGTGCTCTCGTCCTCTGTAAGCTTGTTCACTGTTTTAGAGTGACAGTATTTTGCAAAGCACCAGAGAGAGCCCTGTTTGGCTCAATGTACTGTTCCTTCCTACTCCTAGTCAAAGTGCTGATGTGCAGGGGATTACAGAAAGCTAAAATTCTGAGAGAATTCAGGTACTTGTACTGGCTTTATTAAATGAAACCTTTTATAAAAGAAACCCAGAGACTGCCATTGTGGGTTTTTTTTCCTTCAGCAATGTTCGTTGTATGGCTGTTATACTGGTGGTTCAGCTTCAATAGCCCAAAATGTATATGCAGATCATGAGTTCTGATTTTACGTTGACATTTCTGATTTGCATACAGGTTGCAGGTTAGCGACTCAAATGATTTGAAGAAAAAATGAAATGTTGAAGCCAGAAGCTTAGTATAATAGCCAGACAATTAGCAATTTCAGAAAGAGGTCATCAGTAGCAATTTCTGTTTTTGCCAGGAAAAGCTTCCTTTAAAGGATAATATTGTAAATGGGAAAAATTGTGTTCTCTTATCATACAGTAGAGGACACACATTCATGAACTATGGTTTATATGCTACTACCTTCATGTAATTGCACACTGGCAAACACTTTTGCTAGGGCTGGATATAGTTTATACCACATAACCCTGCCCACTCCACAAGACTCCAGTTTTTTTTTTTTTTGCTAGTGTCCTTAGACGATGGACCTGGTTTTTTTTAAACCATTAAAGTTTTTTTTTTCTTCATCTATCAACATCTGACTGCTTATTACCTTGTGGAACCTAGCAGTTTTCGGATCAGTTACCCTCCATATGTACCATGGGAACCACACCAGGACCACATTCAGAGAAGACAACCTGTAATGCTTGCTTTTGGCACTGGATCCTGCGTTAGCTGCTTATCCTGGCACAAAGTGCGACGTGTGATGTTAACTATACAAAAAATGTCAACCGTCCCAACCTATAACCAGCCTTGGCAGTTAGCAACATTTGATGTTAGCTTTACAAGGTCAGGGCGGATGCTGCCATTTCAGTTCTCAATATACTCCTTACAGTTCCTGTTGAGGATGTGCCCCCTTTTAAGGATTCAGGTGACAGACAGTTTGAAAACCCTTTAAAGGCCTTATTTGCACTTGCAGGTCCAGCCCAATTGCTGCTGTATAGATTTGCCAGACTTTCACTAATGTTTCAAGTTGTAATAACAGAGAGCTGGAATTGGTCTTTGAAGACCCTTTAAAGATTACATCTAAGCACATAAAATCCACCCCCAAAAACTGTGAGACCCCCCCCCATCTCAATGTACATGCATGTACAAACGTAAATACACGCACACTGGGGGCACCTAAGCACAAAAACGTCAATTGTGATACATGTTACATATCGCTACACACCAGAGTGGGAGCAATAATTTTAGCACCAAAGCTCCTGTGTAGCTCTAACATGTTGGGTATCTATTTACTTGGTGCAACCTCATCTGTTATATTTTACAAAAAAAAAATTTTCAGAAATTTTGCGTTTCCTAGACCTTTGCCCTAATATTGCGTAACTTCAAAAATTGGAACTACCACTATTTTATTGTCTAGGGTATCTGCTTTCAGAAAAATATATAATGTTTGGGGGTTTTATGTAATCTTCAGAGCTAAAATGATTTTTTTAAACGTGCAAAAAGGCTCTGGCAGCAAAAGGGTTTAAGATGTCAATCAACAAGTTTCAAGAATCTCTTATCTCTGTGCATATACACAGAATGTTATGGTTAAAAGCTTGGCCCGCTGACCATGCTTCTAAAAACTGTATTCTACGCATGGTCACCTCTTTGGGAAATTCTTTGACAAATTCATCAAGGAAGTTACTGGTGACCAGGTACAGTAGGGCAAAAAAGAATTTAGTCAGACACCAATTGTGCACGTTCTCCCACTTAAAAAGATGAGAGAGGCCTGTAATTGGCATCATAGATAGACCTCAACTATGAGAGACAAAATGAGAAAAAAAATCCAGACAATCACATTGGCTGATTTGGAAAGAATTTATTTGCAAATTATGGTGGAAAATAAGTATTTGGCCAATATCAAAAGTTCATCTCAATACTTTGTTACATATCCTTTGTTGGCAATGACAGAGGTGAAACGTTTCCTGTAAGTCTTCACAAGGTTGGCACACACTGTTGCTGGTATGTTGGCCCATTCCTCCATGCAGATCTCCTCTAGAGCAGTGATGTTTTGGGGCTGTCGCTGGGCAACACGGACTTTCAACTCCCTCCAAAGGTTTTCTATGGGGTTGAGATCTGGAGACTGGCTAGGCCACTCCAGGACCTTGAAACGCTTCTTACGAAGCCACTCCTTCATTGCCCGGGTGGTATGTTTGGGATCATTGTCATGTTGGAAGACCCAGCTACGTTTCATCTTCAATGCCCTTGCTGATGGAAGGAGGTTTGCACTCAAAATCTCACGATACATGGCCCCTTTCATTCTGTCCTGTACATGGATCAGTCGTCCTGGTCCCTTTGCGGAGAAACAGCCCCAAAGCATGATGTTGCCACCCCCATGCTTCACAGTAGGCATGGTGTTCTTTGGATGCAACTCAGCATTCTCTCTCCTCCAAACACGAGTTGTGTTTCTACCAGGGGCGGACTGACAACTCATGGGGCCCCCGGGCAATAGGGGATCATGGGGCCCCTGTGTCCTTGCCCAAACTCAAAAAAGCCTATGAAAAAGGTACCAGGGGCATCTTATGGGGCCCCCTGCTGACCCCGGGCCCTCGGGCAGTGCCCGAGTTTCCAAATGGTCAGTCCGCCCCTGGTTTCTACCAAACAGTTCTATTTTGGTTTCATCTGACCATATGACATTCTCCCAATCCTCTTCTGGATCATCCAAATGCTCTCTAGCAAACTTCATACGGGCCCAGACATGTACTGGCTTAAGCAGGGGGACATGTCTGGCACTGCAGGATCTGAGTCCCTGGTGGCGTAGTGTGTTACTGATGGTAGCCTTTGTTATGTTGGTCCCAGCTCTCTGCAGGTCATTCACTAGGTCCCCCGTGTGGTCCTGGGATTTTTGCTCACCGTTCTTGTGATCATTTTGACCCCACGGGGTGAGATCTTGTGTGGAGCCCCAGATCGAGGGAGATTATCAGTGGTCTTGTATGTCTTCCATTTTCTAATTATTGCTCCCACAGTTGATTTGTTCACACCAAGCTGCTTGCCTATTGCAGATTCAGTCTTCCCAGCCTGGTGCAGCTCTACAATTTTGTTTCTGGTGACCTTCGACAGCTCTTTGGTCTTCACCATAGTGGAGTTTGGAGTGTGACTGTTTGAGGTTGTGGACAGGTGTCTTTTATACTGATAACAAGTTCAAACAGGTGCCATTGATACAGGTAATGAGTGCAGGACAGAAGAGCCTCTTAAAGAAGAAGGTACAGGTCTGTGAGAGCCAGAAATCTTGCTTGTTTGTAGGTGACCAAATACTTATTTTCCACCATAATTTGCAAATAAATTCTTTCCAAATCAGCCAATGTGATTGTCTGGATTTTTTTTCTCAGTTTGTCTCTCATAGTTGAGGTCTACCTATGATGCCAATTACAGGCCTCTCTCATCTTTTTAAGTGGGAGAACGTGCACAATTGGTGGCTGACTAAATACTTTTTTTGCCCCACTGTACTTCTACCCTACTCCTATGGCTTCTACCTCTACTCAAAGAAAGGGATCTTTCCATTCTCTCCAGGAGTTGGACTTCAAACCAATACTTAACATTTCCTTTCATTGCAA